TTCTCAGCAGCGAGCTTTAGTTTAACCAAACTCTCAAAATAAATTAAGCGATTTATTCACAAAATAAATTAAGTGATTCAATCTGCTGAGACTGACGGCAGCCAGAGGCTGGCGTCACCCTGGAAAGCCTGCATCCTTGTGCTCTCCACTCCCAGGGCTCCCCAGCTCTCTTAGGCTCTCACTAAGCACCCAGAGGGGCCCTGGAAAAGGGCCACTTACCCGAGGCAAACGCTGGACTCGATAAGTGTCCTAGCTCTTCCGGAGGATATCCTCTCTCGGGGAAACTGTGAACATTTGGAATTTTCAGGCCACAGTAATTGAAACGAGCTTTCAGAGTCAGACTGACTGATTAGACGGCCTCCACACACACTCCCCCCTTGCCCAATCTTGCTCTGATTTAAAACTTCAGCTTTCAGAAGATGAGCAAATTGCCATGAAATTTGATTTTATCCAAAATATTAATAAAACTGCAACTGCAACTGCCTTCAATCTCTAAAAGGATGTGTTTGACTCTGTCCATTTCACAGTTCACCATTTCTTCCCTTCTACACATATAACCTTCTCAGTGTTCCCACCTTCAGAGAAAATCAAGTGTGTCAGCATCTCACAGCACAAACTAGCATGATTTCCCTAAATAATGCCAGTTGTTTGGGACATTTTGCCATTTGAAGGAACCAAGTGGAAAAAATGTCACAGGTACTGATTTACAGACACCCAAATATTTCAGTGTATAAAGATCCTTTGCTCTGCTGACGCCTCTTGGGGGAATTCTGAAAAACATCCTATCTGTAAACAATCTGTTCCAGTGCCACATGTTTTCTAAATGTCTTTGCCTGTTGACATTTAAAAAAAATAAAAGAACACATTTGCATGAAAGCAGGACCTTTTGTTTCTTATACATTTATTCTAGCATAGAAATTAAAAATGAAATAGGTCATCTTGCCCAATTGTCTATGACGGATCATTTTCTAAAGGACACCTCCTAGTCCTTAGGCCAACCTCATTTTAGACTTCTAGATCTTTTTTTTTTTTTTTAATAACCTCTGTTTTCAAGTGAAGGAGAATTTATCATTCAAATGTAAACTTCTGAAGCTAATGTTTTCCTTTATTTTTAATCTGTACTTTTCTTAGGTTTCTTTTTTTTAAGCCTAGTTTTTATATTGCTATACCTGTCTATTAAGACATTGCTGAAATTTCTCCCAGGCATGTCACATGATCTTGATCCCCCAGTCCTTAAAATTGTTTTGGACCATGTGATTTCTTTTGCCAAGAACATGGAAGAGGTGAAGAGTGTAACTTCTGGGTGAAGCTTTCACTGTAGCCCCCCACCCCCAACTTCAACCCCCTTCCTGTGTTATTTAAAGCACAATGATACATTACTAACTTTGATTAATGATTTAAAACTTTCCTCATCAAAGAAAAGAATCTTCTGAAAGACCTCCTAGCATGTTAAAAAAATAATACATGCTTTTTGTGAAACTTTTGTTATAGCAAATACTAAAGGAGAAGCAGAATGCATATGATTCAACACAAATTAAGGTATAGTTTATCTTCCCCAATTTATAAAATCAATATTTTTACCTTTTTTATGGTCTTTTCATAAAGTTGACTTCCTGTACAGTGTGCTATGAATTTGACCTTGCAGATTAAAACCCAAAAGTGCTTCTGTATTTTTGGCACTTAAAATAATGATTCTTTAATTGTTATGAAATAACAACTTGAAAGCTAAATACTTTCTCGGGTTTATAACAAGCCTACTTGTGACAAGTTATGAACTCCGTAATAAATATTCTTGCACCGACAGCATCATACCCATGCTCTTACTTTGGGTTGTGCAGCTCTGCTTCATCAGTTGCATCAAGTACTCTACACTACTCTGTGTGTCCCAGGATTCCCAGGAATAGTTCAGAGAGAACAATCCTGATCCTGTTCCTGTCAAACCCCTTTCTAATAGAATTTTCATTTTTCAAAGTTTTAAATAAGATGATTTATATGCACTAGCTGTTTTCTATCAGAAGAAAAACAGCAGAGAAAAGGTTTAAATAACAGGTCCAAAATAGGGCTAAGATAAATGGGGACCACCTGGCCCCTCAGAAGCAGCTCTAAATTAGCTCTTACTGGATTAGCCTGTGTTTCTACTATCTACAATGAATACTTAATGCTTTGAGCCCTTAACATCTGGAAGCTCCTTAAGCCTCCCTGAATCTCAGTTTCTTAATTTCTAAATTGGTGATAATAGAAGCAAGAGGAAAAGTATCAATGTACTTTTCTTTCTTTCTTTTTTTCCATACCGGGAATCAAATTCAGGACCTTGCACTTGCCAGGCAGGCTCGGTGCTACTGAGCTACATCTCCAGCCCGGACAAGTATCAGTGTAATAGTGGTGATTCTGGATGCCACTCTCCCATGGGGCTGTGATCTGAGGGACATTGATTTCAATCACTCAATACTATACCTGGGGCTAAGTCCACTTGTTTTATTTCAAATGATACTAATGAAGAGCCACTTCAATGGCTGAAATTTGGTTGCAGGCGCACAGAAAGTAATAAAGCCCAGATTCTACTCTGAGAACATACAGTTTACAAAGGAGCCCAAAAGCTAAAGTAGCAGATAGCACTGCATAAAGGCAAATAAAGAACCAGTGTTTCCAATTTGATGGTAACACAAGGTAGAATGTGTTTAAATCTACTTGGGTGGTCAAGAAATAGCCATGTAATTGAAAAGGTTTTATCCTTCATCTTGATCTTTTCTACCCCAAATAAAAATAATTACTTAAATAATTACTTAATAATTACTTAAAAGACCCACTTGAAATTTAGTGCTTTGTGGTTCACAACAAAATCTGTTTTGCTCAATCTTATGTTCTAAGACTTCTATGAAAGGGATTGTGTGGTGAAAGGAGACACAGTATCTGTGGATACGAGATGGCTTTGAAGTCTAACCCTAACTTCCTCCAGCTAAATGTATGCTTTTAGAAAGGTAAAAAGACAAAAAATAAACCAGAGCCAGTTTCTTCAAGCCCCAGAGCTCCCAACCATTTCAACTGTAAGTTAGAAAGGATAGATTCTGAACTCTAGGCAGCTAATTGGGAGCCCCAGGCAGAAATCCTAAAGGTGGTAATTGGCACCTTGTGCTTTTCAGTGGCTACTGATGGATTAGCATCTTTAGAGGAAAGGGAAATAAGCAGATTGGTACCCAGAAGTCTCCCATTTCTCAGACCCAAAGGTACCCATCACACAGAAAAGTAGTTTTGATATGATCTGGGTGAGAGTCACTCTTTCCTAGGGCAACAAATTCCTAAATAGCAGAATTAAAATAAAAAATTTATCAGGATTTTTTTCTCTATCTGAAAAAAGCAATATAAGATTAAATTATTTTTAGAGGTAGAAGACACAATTTTAATTGAAACTATTTTGCAAATCTAATTTGATTTCCTCTTGACATATTGCTTCAACTTTTAAAACCCTCCTTCTGAAAATTGGTATGGATTTAGGAGCTATGTCCAGGTTACTCTGAGCCAGACTGAACGAACGGCACTGGTTAGATATGTTAAAATTTAAGAAATAATGGTGCAAACGTGAGGTTCTGGATACACATCTCATGAAGGAATCAATTGTTTTGAGCCAGTGATATTGGTGGGATGTGAGTGGAAGACAGAACTACCAAACATCTAAAGAAACAGAGCCAAGTCCCCTGGCCTGTAGGGGAGCTTATTTGAATACTATCAATTCCAAAGCACTATACTCCTCTATATTTCTTTTCTTTCTTTCTTTCTTTCTTTCTTTCTTTCTTTCTTTCTTTCTTTCTTTCTTTCTTTTTTTGAGACAAGGTCTCACTATGTAGCCTAAGCTGGCCTCAAACTCAAGACTGATTCTCCTGCCTCAGCCTCCTGAATGCTGGGATTACAGGCTTGTACCACCACACCCAGCTTTTACTCTTGTTTATTTCTAAGCACTTTGTCAGCCATTTTCATATCTAAATATATTATTTGAGGTAGATTAAGTTAGCTTTTCCTTATTTTATAGATGAAAATAAGACTCAAATGTTTCAAAAGACAGTATCATCCCACAGCTTTGCAGGTGACAAATTTGGGCCTGATTCCAAGTTTTTTGAATCCCAGTCCTGTCTACACCCATACTGAATGTGCCTGATCTTATATGAATCCTAATTCTATGACCTTCCTTTTGTACCACACCATTGCTACCTTAGAGCTGAAAGGATTGTTCCAGAAATGTATCTGCCTGGAATCTAAGGACTGAAAGATTGTTCCAGAATGTTTCTAGGTAGAGTGCTAAAACTGAACCTCAGGGAATACTGACTATTTTAAGGGAAAGTTTCAAATGTCTATGAAAAGGAACTAGTACAGTGAGCCTCCATATATCCATCAGGCAACTTCAACACTTCTCGACAACCCTCACTGTTTCACCTTTGCCAATGGAGGGGCCCAGAAAGGGTTCGAGTAGTCAAAACCCAGCTTTCCCTGGGCATCAAAAAGCTCATGGAAAAGGAAAGACTCAAGGATAAGAGCTCTGTGTGTCATCAGCTGACTTGAAAGAGAATTAACAATATCTGGAATAGGCCATGATTTAAACCCAGACTAAACTAAATTACGTAAGGTACTGGATCTGTATTCCAGGATGTCCTCATTTACAAGAAAATGCTACAAAATGGCCCAAGATGCCCTCAATATGGTGAGGCCACAGAGAGCAGTGTGGCATTCCTCACGTGTCAAAATGGGAAAGACAACCCCACCCCACACCTAAGTTCCTAGTACCCCAGGAGCAGCAGCATTGCACTGCTGCTCCACTCATTCCACCTGTCTTCTGCTTAGGAAAGAGCATTTCCTGTTTTATTTTAAAATGTTTACTTACTAGTAAAATGTGGAAACAAAATGAGACCAAAAAAATGTCAATATTCATTAAATTAAATACCGGTTTTCACTAACTGTACTTTTTTCTTTTTTTGAAAAAAAACACAAATCATACGAAGTTTCTTTCTTACCAGTACTTCATCATTTGGTTGTACATCTGACTCTGAATTTTCAGGCTGCATGCTGAAAAAAAGTAAAGTTTAGAATTCCAAAATTTATTTCAGACATGCACACACATTTCACATCAAATAGATTGTTACACTGTAACATGTAAGACACATTTTTTTCAACTATTTCCTCTAAATGTCAATTTCTATTATTTCAAAAGGAAATAAAAATAATGGAATGCAAACTTTACTCCAAGAAGATAAAATAGACTTTAAAGGCCCTCTTGAGAATAACCAGTCTCAACAGTACAATCTGTTCTGAAAACCTGCAGAATCTCTTGTTTCAATTTAAAAAAGAAAAAGGAAAGAGAGAAAAACATTATTCTATGAAACAAGACTCAGAGAATTCTTATTTCCTCCACTGTTTTCTTTCTCTGTCCCTCTCTTTCTGGATCATTCTCTTATAAACATGTTATTATTGCAGCTTGAACCTTCTTGCTCCTTTAGTTTCTGCTTGCTTATCTGACCACCTCCACAGCAAAACTATATTTTCACTGCCTCCAATTCTTCCCTTTTTTTGGCCAAAGCCACTCCAATCAATCTCTCAGTAGTACCACTCCACAGGAACTGCACTTGGTAAGTTCACCGAAGAGCTTCACAATTACTGTCTCCAGTGGTCGTCTTGCTTCAGTGTTTTTGACATGATTCATCATTCCCTCTGAAATACTTTCATCATGGATTGGAGCTATAACTCAGTTGGCAGAGTTCTTTCCTTGCATGCATTAAGTCTGGGTTTGATCCCCAGCATTGCAGAAGAGAAGGAGAGAGAGAGAGAGAGAGAGAGAGAGAGAGAGAGAGAGAGAGAG